ATCATGATGGCTAGTAATTCCTTATCGTAGATTTCATAGTTATGCTCTGTGGTGGAAAGTGATTTGGAGAGAAATGCAATGGGTGTCCATTTTCCATCAGCCTGTTCTTGGGATAGTACGGCACCAATGGCGCCTTTGCTGGCATCGGCCTCTACTCAGAATTTCCCTTCGTTACTTGGAATGGCGAGAACAACATTTTCTAAAAATTGTCGTTTAATGGTTTCGAAGGCATCTTGTTGTGCCTTTCCCCATGTCCATGCTTCCTTCCCAGTAAGTCGGGTTAGAGGTTTGACATGGTGACTATAGTGCCAAATGAACTGGCGGTAAAAATTGGTGAATCCTAAGAAGGATTGTAATTCCTGTTTCTTGGTTGGCGTCGGCCAGTCCAGGATTCCTGCAATTTTGACAGGGTCCATTTTGATGGATCCTTCACTGATGATTACTCCTAGATATTCAGTTTCTTCTACTTCAAACTCGCACTTCTCAGCCTTTAAGAAGAGTTTGTTTGCTCAGAGTATTTGCAGAACCTTCCGAACTATGGTTCGATGTTCTGCTTTGGTTTTGGTGGCGATGAGTATATCATCCAGGTAGATGCTGACCAATCCCTGAGCTATCAGGTCTTTGAAAAGGTCATTCATCATCCATTGGAAGGTCACGGGGGAGTTCGTGAGCCCGAAAAACATGACAAGAGGTTCATATAGGCCTCGATTGGTACGAAAGGCTGCCTTCCATTCGTCGCCCTTTTTGATGTGAACATTGTTGTATCCCCATCTCACATCTAGTTTTGTGTAGTACTTGGCACCCCGTAACCTGTCCATTAGCTCCGATATGAGCAGGAGGGGATATCGGTTCTTAATGGTCATCTCATTAAGTTTGCGATAATCCTGGACAGGTCGCAGTTTTCCATCTTTCTTTTTGACAAAAAAGAAAGGTGAGGCCATGGGGGATTTCAATGGTCGAATCCTTCCTGTTGACAAGTTTTCATCTAGGAAGTGGTCGAGTTCGTTTTGTTCTTGAGGATTCAAGGGGTATACCTTGCAATCCAGGCTGGCGTTGGCATTGGGTACTAGTTCAATGGCATGGTCCCAGGGTTTTCGTGGGGGTAATTCGTCAAAATTTTCTTTGGCGAATACATCTATGAAGTCTCGGTAGATTTCAGGTACAATTTCTTCAAAAGTCTTTTCTTTTTTATTGAGATGGGCCTGAGCAGCTAAATTGGTGGATTTAGTCCCCATGGCATGCACATGGAAGGCTTGTTCGAAGTCTATTACTAGGATTCTATCCCCTTTTTCCACTTCAGTTCCCCACTGCTGGCTCGGGTCTTCATCGGGTAGTCGGAAGGGGATTTTCCGGCAATCACATTGTGCAAGGGTGACTGTCCCGGTGTTCCAGTCAATCAGGGGGTTGTGGCGTTGTAGCCAATCATGCCCTAGAAAGATTGGCGTGGTGCCTAGATCGACCACGGCCAACTCTATTTGTTCGGTATGATCCCCGATCATGAGATGGACTTTGACGTAGTCGGTGATGTCACCCCCCATGTTTCGGGTTCCATCAGCATTATATATGGGTACTGGGTGCGCAGCGATTCAGGTGGTGATCTGGTGCTCCTTGACCCACTTTTGGTCAATAGCACTCCCCATGCATCCACTGTCTACCAAGGCTTTAACCGGATGTTTAGCCAGGGTATCGTACGGAACGGAAATGGTGACGTTCCATCCTTTTCTTCCCCGAATATATTGTGGTGGTTGCTGGAGATCGGCCATCCCTTGTGCTTTGTGGTGGGTCTCTGTCCATGTCTCGTGAGGACATTCTAGTAGAGCCTTTACTAGTTCGTTGGTTACTTCCTTGAGGTGTCGAGGGTGAATCCACTATCATAAGTGGGCTTTAGCAGCATCTGGGGTAATGCGCATGGCCCTTCGGACCCACGCTGATTGGTAGGGCTCTAGGTACTGTTGGTCCAAAGGGTACTCCTCTGACGAGTACTCGAGGTTTCCCTCTTTCGGCATCAGGGACTTCCCCTTGTTGCTGTTTGCTGCAGGATTGGTGGCCCTTTGGTCTTCTGCAGTTACTGAGCTTCCTGCCTGTTCGCTTGTGCTACTAAGGTCTTTTCCACTCGGGGATGGCCCGCACAGTCCGGATTTTTTAGAGTTCCGCAAACTCTGTTGGTAACTAAAATCGTTTTTGTCATCAGGAATTTCCGTTATGGTTACCTTTTTATTTGCTTGGTTGCCTCGAGGGGAGAACCGGCTCCCTGAGGGCTTACTCCCCAGAGACTCCTTGTCTCTGCCTCGAGCAGTATGGCTTTCACCCTGCGAGGTCTTTGTTCTTGAAGGGTCCTCACCCTTGTCCTTTACCCCGATGGGTAGTTCGGTAACCCTTCGTGGACGCACACATGTTGGCTCGCCAGGGGGTCCTGTGGGATTCCCCTGGTTCCTCACCTCAGCTGCTTTTCCAACACGAGCCGTTGCTACAATTGGGGTAGGAGCGGTGGCTCGGGTTGTCGACCGATCTTCACCGGGGCGGCTGGGCGCAGCCTGATCCTGACGCGAGGGCCTCTCCTGTTGCATCCGGAACTTTCCCCGTGCCAGGCAATTTCTGCCCCCCCAGCTGGGAGCTTGATCTGAGCTGGGGTGTCGGTCCTGCTTCCGGGGACAATGGTGGTTACTGCCAAACCTTCATCCGGTAGCTCTATTACGCTGCAGGCCTCCGTCGTCCCTGCAGCATGGGCCTCCGCTTTTCCGAGGGGTTCCCCGCCATCACAGAGGGGCCTACTCATTCTTGATCCACCGCTGCCAGCAGCAGCGGGTCGCTTGCTCATTTCTGGAGTTGCACATGAGTCGCGCCTAGTGGGGTTCACTGCTGATACAGTCGTTGTACCGACGGAGGAAATCCCTCGTACTCCATGTCTTGATCCCTCCAGTGTCGACTCGGTGAGAACCAAAGTGCTCATGTCCCCTGAGGGTTTTCCTTCTGCTTTAAAACAGTTCAGGTTTGGGTCTGCTAGGCACTCATCGCCATTGGCTTCGTCCTGTTCCTTACCTGGACATGCGCTCCCAGGGGCGAGTGGTCCGAAAGAGTAGGATTTTCTGGTCCCATCTTCCGGACCTTCGTCCGACAAGCCAGCGCGAATCCTAAGAGGGTTCTCGACTTGCCCGCCACATGCCTCCTTGCTCTGGTTTGTCCTCAGGTTTGGGTTCCATCTGTTCCCCACTTGGGGCCTCTCCGTCCAACCATTTGGGATCTTCTCTCCCCTCCAGCCTGCTGGAAGGTTGACCACATGTTGTGGCCTGCCCAAGCCTGTTGCTGTTAAGCTGCTTGGGCTCGCTCCTCGAGGTAGATATACCCGAGGTCTACTGCCTGTTGAATCGACTTCCGATATTCAGGAGCCTCCCACATGAGGACTTGGTGGGTGAGGTTCTTTATCGATTGACTGGTCCTGGTCAATGCGAAGGTGGAAATCCTGTTCTACACCATGCTGAGTCCAGGATTGAGCGTCGTCCTGGTGAATATCACCCTGTGATTCTGTCTGGGTTTCTTGAGAACGCGACAAAATAAGTATATTGTCCGTTGTAGTTCCTACATGTAAAGTATCAACGTTAAATTTCATAATAGGATGCATACTGTTTGAAACACAAGTTCTGGTTGACCGAGGTGAATCACCTAGTCCTCGGTCGACTCCTCTTTTACCTCCTCAACCTTTGTCATAGCAGGGGTTTCCTCCTGTTTGGCCTCTTCGATTAAGGCCCTTAGGCGCTGTGTGAATGGCGTCGTTTTCTTCATGAAGGGTGTCAATTTCGGTTTCTTCATGCTGCGCCATTTGGACTTGTCGGTCGGGCATCTGTTGTCCCGACTGATATGTCCCGTATTACCACATTGAAAGCATTGCCTCTCTTTCTTGAGATGGTCGATGTCCATGGGCTCGCCTTCACCTCCATAGGTGGTTCCAGTAGCGTCTCTTTTATCGCTTCTGCCTCCCCCTGAGGTGCTGGCTCATCTGGCAGGTCCGGATTTGGACCCCTCGGTCCCTGCGGGGCGACCCCCGCATTTGGCTACCCCTACTCGGTAGTTCTCAGTCCATATGGCTGACTCTGTCTTTCCATTCATAGTAGCCTTGGGGTCGGCGATTGTCACTCCCCATGATGACCTCTTTGATGGAGGTCGAATGGCTAGTTTTACCACTTCTTTCATTTGGTCCGCGTTGTCAAATCATTTTGCTTTTATGGCTAACTCTTCGAATTTGTCGAAGAATTCCATGGCTGACTTGAATTGGGATTGTTGGAGCTTCTTCCACTCGATTCGTTGAATCTCGATCTCCGCCACTTCTTGGAATCGTCTCCAGTACTTCTTCCTCAAAGGTTTCCCATGCGGGGTACCGATGATGGTTTTGGTGGGAGTCCCAATATTTCCGTCGTTGGTCCACCCACCACTGCTTAGCATTCCCCTTGAATAGGGATGCTGCAAATACTACTCGATTGGGTCCATACCCATATGTCACATTAAGGGAGAAGTACTTTGAAAATGTTTCAAAGTAAGCGTAGCAGTCGCTGAAGAATTGGTCAAGGTCATAGGATTTTCCATAGAACCCATCCGGTTTTTCTATGAGTGTGGGTTTAACGTCTCCCCACAGATTAGGTTGTCCTGCCATAATTGCTCATCCAAGTGGCGGATTGGGTGGTAGTGGGAGATTCGCAGGGCAAGGAAGTGATCAGATATTTTGATCACTATGTGGTGTAGGTGGCACCGCTGGAGGGGGTGGCCCTCCGCTGCCTCCGCCTCCACCTCCACCTCCACCTCCACCTCCAGGTGTGGTGGGTGCTGGCCCACTTCCTTTGCCAGAGGTAGGGGTTGTTGCAGTGCCTCCCATGCTTCGGAGGTGTTGGTCTAGTTGTTTTCTGCCTGCGAATAGTCCTGATGTCTCACCAGGTCTGGTAACGGCAGTGGTGGTTTGGAGAATTCCTAAGTTTGAGAAGTCTGATTCCGAATCTTCAGTACTGGGAATTTCATAGCGGCCTCCTTGGAGTAGTTGTCAGGTCGGGGTGTAGGATATTCCAATAGTTTATGGCAATATATTGGGTTTCTTGTGATAATATGTCCCTTTGTAATTGGGAGCTGGGCTCAGCTTGTTGATAAGCTTGCCCCTGGGGCGTGGTGGACCAGTAGGTTTCGTGGGGTAGTTGGTCGTGCATATTCCACCAGAACTGGTCCCAGTTCATCCTATAGAGTTCTTCTTCGGTAGGGATGGGTGCTGGACCCCTGAACAAACTCATCGTCCCCCTCATTGAAGGGGGATTCATTGGCATATTCTCTCTCACGGGTGAGCTGGTCGATTTGTATCCTGGCTCTAACCCATGGGTCCAGTCGGTCGAGATGATCAGTTGGATGGAAGACGGGTTCGTATTGTAGGAGGTAGGGATTTCCATCGATCCATATCTGGTTCCAGTTCCAGATATATGCGAAGTATCTTCTATATCTTTCGAATATGTCTTCGAAGTCTGCTCTATCGTAGGCCCACCACTGTAGCTCTCTTTGGGATATGAATGGTGGGTCGACGTAGAAGGTTGGTTTGGGGGTAAGGAAGGTTTCGAGCTCTGGGTCGGGGCCAACTTCGTTATATCAGGCTCGGGCCAGGTCCCATAGTCGTTGGCAGATCCGGCACCTGCAGTGAGGCCAATCTGTGAGACTCGCCTGATCGAGCTCTGTCTCGACAGGATTTGATATGTCAGTAGTTCCGGTGAGGGACTGGGCTCCTGTGAACCACCAGAGGACAGTGTCCTCCTCGTTGGTGTCTGCAAATAAGACCCTACGCTCCCACAGCAGGGAGTCTGCATGGGGGTGTTGCTCGAGTAACTCATTTGTATCTGTCTGCTCTCCCCATGGGTCTTCGTCGTTGGGATAATATGGGGTCTGGGCCCCAGAGGATCTGGGGAGTGTGAGAGGGATAGGGTTTTCTTCCTCGGTAATAGTGTCGAGGGTTCCCCCGATGGATGAAGTAGACTCAACTGGTGAGATTCGTGCAGTCGTGGGCTCCCCGAAGGTGTCTGCCCATGCTCTGAGGTCTGCGATGGTAATCGTGTTCCTAGCTGGGGCGCGACATTCCTCTTCTGCCCATTGTTCACGCTCTCTGGGGTCAGGTTGGATTGGAGGGTCTGGAATGTATCGACCTGAGTCAGGGATCAGCGATGAATAACATCGTGGAGTGTCAATCCCGTAGACTCATCGAGTCCCATCTGCTGAGTACCAGGATAACCAGCTGGAGGAGCTGGTCGGGGACCCAGGGCCTTGGATTCTTGGCTCTGGGGAATCCCTCATCGTATCCCTTGACTCGCCTTCCATTGTTGTGCTGCTTCTTGCCACGATGGGCTCTCCCCAGGACCGCTGGCTATGCTCGTCTGTTGACCGGGCACTTCCGGGGTCTGAACTATCTGGGCCGCTGCTGCTACTTCCCACATCACACCCGGCATTTGGTCGTACCCACTCTCCTTCGATTGCTCCTGGTGTTGTACTTGGGAGGCATATTTCATGGCCTCGGTCGGTGAGGATTCTTCCTCTAGCGACATCAATGTAGATCCTTCTGGCTTCTCGTACTGTGTAGCTGCTCTCCAGGACTGTCTCTGTCATTGTTTGGAGAGATGCTGTGTCGTCCAGGGTTTTCTTCCTGAAGGGGAGGCCCAACTTCTTCACCCCTGCTGTCATTTTGCCCTTCCATGTCTGGCTGTGAGAAGACGTGGTCGTCTTCTGGGACTGAGGGCTGTGGCATGCTTGGGCGGAGTCTGATGGGAGTGAGATGTCCGATTGAGGATTCATTAGAGTCTGTTACTCGCTCACTCGGGAGGGTTGGTGCTCTTTGTTGTGTTCGTTCTAGCTCGTAAGCATATAGAAGGAGTGTGGATTCGAGGGTAATCATGGAATAATAAGTTTCATAGTCTTCTGGGTTCATACGGTCAATGTCGTTGAACAACAATGAAAGTACTGGTTGTGATTAACAGTATGACCACTGTTATCGTAAATAGTCGTAACAGGAATACGTAGAACAACAGTGTAACTCGTTGGTTCGACGGTGAGGGTATGCGAAGCAAGCTTCGGCTAATTGTAACGCACTAACTTGGATTGTACAACGTTTGCCTCTAAACTGTCACTCGCGTTCGGTGATTCAGTTGTGGAGAGGGCATCGCAATCGTTAGGTCAGAGACGATAGTCCTTAGTCTTGGAAGCAGGGAGGTTCTGCGTGAAAAGTTAGGAGTGTATAACTTTAGCCGAAGCTGGGGTATAATACCACAGCAAGGCTAGGCTTAAATACATCACAGTATATACTAATAGGTATCCGTCCTAAAGCATTGCTGTCTTCTAGGCAGACGCGTTTGATATGCTAGAAGTCCTCCTGCAAGTAAGAAGACTAGCGTTTGTATGGCGCTATCTTCTGGGAGGTATACGTGGCACCCTATCTGTCCTAGGATGTGATCAGAGTCAACCTAAAGAAGCGTGACTGGCCGAAGGAGGGTCGGGCCCATAGTCATGTGGTCGGATCTATGGGCCATCAAATGGATCATGCGTGTGAATGGTGGATCATGCGTGTGATTGATCAGGTCATGAATGATGCGGATCAGGTACGAGGAATGATGATGAGAGTCGAATGACGAGTTGATGAGATAAGATAAGATAAGCAAAAAATAGGGGTGATTCATGACATCTCCAGAGTCTCCCAATTACTATGGTTGCCATCTGTTGGAATCCTCGGTGTTGCGCAGGGTAGACCCCTGGCTGGTAAGGCCAGTTGATATGAACTTGTTATTCCTAGGCTCCTACAGAGCCTGTATTTATACTACTTTGCAATGTAATCTAGAATGTACTACAACTTTCTACTAGTCTCATGCTTACTCAGCAACTCTCGGCATGATGCCAGATTGCTCCTTCTAGAACTTTCCGGCAAAATCCCAACACCGTCGTTTGGATGATTTTCATGACTGTCATGTTCATGTTTCCTAGGACCCCTTCTCCTAGGGTAGGCAACATGAACTATACTGTCGCAGTACAAAGTCGGTTACTTCCAATAAGATTACGATTCATCACGTTAAGACAGACCTTGCAGGCGGTGTTCTGATCCTTGCGATTGCTTATTTTTACTTTCCAAAATATGGCGGGATCAATTGGTTCACAGGACCGATATCAACGCTCAAAATGCCTGCATTACAAGTTGAGAATGATATAGTCGAAAAAGAGTAAGATGCTAGTGGATGTGGTTCGAATTGCGTTGACCAAGTGGATCGTTTTTCGTGAATTGACCATTATATATGCGTAGTTGGATACATTGCCAATATTGACTTGTCCCAATTAATGATATGTGCGCTCAACGTTTTCATGAGAGAATCCATCCACGGTGTATGTCTTGACTGCTTAAGGCTGACAGGTAGTTATAACGGCAGCCACACTTTTTACTGCTGTCGGAGAGATGTATGAGAGGCTACCATATACTGTAGACTTGGATTGACATGGCGGCTCAGAGCATAAGCCCCTTCGTCCAGCGAAAAATTCCGATTTTAGAAGGTTAACAGGATGCACTTTTAAGGGTGTTTTACTCTCCCGGAGTTTCCAGCAATGAGGGATACTTTCCTTCCAATGCTACTTGAAAAGAAGAAGAAAGCTACAAGCTTGAAACGCGTTGGTGGCGGTGCTACACGGCATTGACTTCGGCATGAATATTGAATGCTTATCAGGGCGACCGATGCAATGTCTCAGATTCCGGTAGAATGTGAATACGCAGTGACCTAAAAATAGATGATCACTAATCGCATCTCTTAGCACAACCTTGGACGTATCTTGATAAAAAGCCAGCCCACGGGCAGTCAGAACACAACGATACTCATCTAACATCAACCGATTGAACACTTTCGAGAAAACTCTAGGCAGATATGACGGATCCGGATTGAAGGGCACATACTGGAGGGAGTTCAATTGAGCGGCTGTGCCAGCAACCATTTGCCTGCGACGGTAGCATTTGGTGCAAAAATTGCTGCGTAATCCAATAAGATCAGAATCTATGGCACCTAAGACACCAGACCGAACGACTGATGTCACAAAGAACCTGTGAGGAAAAATACCAGCATCTCTAAAACACGCCGCAAACTTCCTGCATCCAGAGAAGCACTCAGATATACAAAGTCCAGATAACAGATAGGGCATCAAACGTACTCAAAGGTCAGGTTAATCACGGCAAGAGGTTCCCAGTATAACACCATGACAGAACATCATTGTCGACAAGAAAAGAGGTGAATAAACCACTGTTCGGCAAACGCCGACAATTTAAAAGTGAAGGGAAAAAATTTTCAGAAGAAATTCTCTCAGGAGTGCAAAACCCAAAGAAAGAACTAAGATCCGAAGTGTCTGAGACAGATGGATGGGGGCACATGGACTGGCGCTAATCGTGTATTCTCAAGCCAAAAGACGCAACATTAGTGAGTTTGAAGACCCACTACCAAAGGTAGCAGGAATCATGATATCAATCAAATCAGCTTCCATCTGCTCCAACCTGAATGAACATACCGTCATCTATCCATGCATTCAGTTTCAAGAACCAGAGATAAGACGAGGCCACTTACTGTCCATTGTACACTCAACAGTCCAAACAGGAACACTAATCCGGTATTCCAGCCTCCAGTTTGGTTCACAAGCACTGCAGAGCCAAAGACGTAACTGGCTGGATGCATGTTTTCGTGACCTGTCATGGCGAGAAGGATGATGATGACAGTGACTACCGGTGACTGTAAGGATGGAGTGATACGTGGGATGGGAGGAGCATCTTACAGAATGTGGCTCCAAGATTAACAAAGACGAATGAAGACGATAAACGAGCAAGGTAGCGAGTTGCGAGCGAGTTCTGGGTAGCAAAGTTTAACAACAAAGATGAAGATGAGTGGTCCTGGATGTTTAGTATTTACCAGGATACCATGGAAGATGAGTAAGCCAATGAAGAGCCCAATGACCTTTCCCTATGTTTAGAAACAGTTGAGAAAATAGTCGAAGCAAGCAGCATAGATCCATTACTTGAGTAATTTCATAGTTCCCATCCTGTAAGATAAGCATAGTTAGCCCCAATCTTTGAAATGTGATTGGAAGTGTCATCACCTTGCCGATGACAACAGCGGCCCATATCATATTTGATAGACCAAATTCAGTTGAAGAGATATCCACAATCTGGCCTGCATGAGCAAGACTCGGTCAGTATAGCCCCCATATTCCCTGATTATCGTCTCACCCAGAATATTTAGCCATCCAACCAACCAATCAATCTAAGGAATGAACTTTTATCGGCATCCAAAACACAACTAGTTGAAGAGGGCCAGTGCATCCGCATGGCAAGTCCGAGTCCTATGTATTTTCAGTGGCGCAAGCTGTCCTGGAAGGACAAGAGACCCCAAGTCTCCCAACCTGATGGTCAATCGCCCATGATAGTAGGCTCCTCCTCAACTGCTCGGAAGCACTTGATCCACCAGTTGATGAACAGTAAGATCTTGTCTTTCAGCTCACCACCGAGTCATAGATCGGTAGTAGCATTCAAGTGAAGAGGGGAGACATTAAGCACAGACTATTTGATATGACTAGTCAGCATGGGCTCAATAAGATATGAAGGGATAGTTACAAGGCATACAATTGCAAGTCATCTCTAGGACTTTTACACCGTTTGATGCCAAATGTGCAAACTGACAATCGTACCAAGGTCATCCAGAAAATAGTTCATAGCGTAGAGCTCTTCCAGGTGATCAAAGGACACAGACGCATACGAACGCAAACTTTCCCAGAATTCTCAGTGAAGGCTCCGTCTCCTCGGAAGAACGAACGGCCTTACTCGGCCAGAAGGGCGTGATAATTTGGTTGACGCGCCTCAGTGCGAGTGGGAAGGTGCGTTGATGCGTAGCTATTGTAGCTATACTGCGTGAAAGAACCTGACAGAGCCATCCTAGTCAACCATCGCATGTGCACTGGAACAGCATCTCCTCCACCTGCACAAAAACTCTTACCGCTTGGATGGCGACAATGTCCGATTTGGCTTGAACAAAGATCAAGAAATGCGAACATCCGTCAGATAAGCGAGGTGCATTGTCAGTACCAGCTATTCATTGATTGATTGTACTCATGCCTGGTGCTGGATAGATCTCTAAAATATTCGCCAACTCTGCATCCATCACTATCACGGCCTTCATCTCGCCGTACCACGTAGACTAGGCATTCGCCTGAGAGATCCATGAAAAGGCATTGTTTCCCTTTGTCGAGGTGTTTGTTGATGCACCTCTCCATGTCGTCGAACAGTGCGACCCAAAGAGCCTGTACAAGAAAGCCCGTGCGGGTGCGTTGCTCTGGTAATCTGCTCTGATGCTTCGTGATTCTCAACGATAGAGTTCATGGGCATATCTGCCCCGTATGAAGCTCCAGAGAACCCAGAAATCCACATTGATACATTGGTTACGGATGTTGTGGAGAGCGTCCGGATAATCACTGATTCTTTGATGAGTAAAGGGTATATTTCCGTGTAGGACGAGAAAGGCTTCTATAAACTACATAGACAAGTGTGTATCATTGAGCCAGTGGGCAAAAAGTTACTAGAGCATGAATCAGTAATGTTGAAGTCATGAATACTTTGAACCAACCTGTATAATCAGCTTGTGTAGCCTCCAGGCACATCCAAAAAGAAGTATTATCATCATAGGCATATGTATACGTAGTCAGACAAGGACCCTCTGCGTGCACAGATATAAGAACACTTGGAAAAGAGATGAATGAATAGCTTACTAAAATAATTATAGTAGGACACTCCGGAGGAAGGACAAGTCGCCGCCATGCTGTGAGAGCCCATACAACAATTAGGTGAGTCCTCTGAACAGAACAAGCCAATGTCAGTCGAGACCGGCCGATGACACAATAGAACGGAACTACATACTCTTCTGCTCATCGTTCTCAATCAAGCACGCTGATTTACACCTGACAGTCTTACCGTCTGGTCCTGCCAGTACAAGTTCCTGCGGACCTGAATCGAACAACAACATGAGCCTGAGGATCCATACTGAATGGAAACACCCACAATTGGTGTTGAGGTCAGCAGCACAGATGGGTCCATCAGTGGGTGTGATGAGCATCGGAATGCTGAAACCATCTACAACGGAGACTACGACAGTTCAGCTTCGAGGTAAAAGGCCTCTGATTCACTCACGATCATAGTTGTCCTCACCCTTTTCATCAGCTGCCGACGTCCATTCCGCTACCTTCACCGGCGGGACACCCTACCAAGTATTCACAACCAACATCAATTTCAAACCTAAGCCTTCGTACCATCCCGGTATGGGGATCACACAGTAACTGTCCATTACAGCCACCTGTAACACACAAAGTGGACCCTGTTTCGAAAAATCACATTGTGTGCATCCCTAACCACAACCCCAGTCACGTAAATGCAAGGAAAAGTTGTCTGAACAACTTACCCAGATTCGCCCAGAAGTCCAGTTACCTGGTACATCAAATGATACTGAAGTGCCTGCAGTGACTTCCCAGCTGTATGGTATGGTAATTTTGTATCAGGATAATTGAAAGCCTGAGAATGGTGCGCACCCAGTATCGTGGTTAGGCATCACCTGACCGACATCCAGGTCTGTGAAGATCTACAAATGCCAGGATAAGTGATTTAATTTACGGGGCGGGGTATGAGTAAAGAGGGCACGAACCGCAGGCCTAGGAAAAGTAAAGCAGTAAGCACGCGATTGGCGAAGGTTCACACTGAGAAGACCTGCCAGATAGTGTACGAACACGAATTCTTCACCGTACATGCAGAGACTCGGAGGCCAGTGAGAGCGAAGAGAAGAATCAAGATGGCAGGGGAAAAGAAAGGGATAGTCAAATGCAACAGAACACGACGGCGACGATGGGGAACGAAAAACACGCGACAGCATCAGGTAGACAGACGGTCAACAAATACAGTTATTCACACGGTATACTCAGGTGGCCAGTTCGGCAAAGGCCGTCAATGAATAGAATTATTCCCACGGTACTCTCAGGTACCCATGCCGGCAAATTCCGTGATGAATTGATCCACAACATAATGACCGAGTATCTATACTAATAAAACCTACTTCCTTCCTTCCTATATACATAGGACTCGGAACTTCTGAGATGTCCTAGCATTGTCTCAAAAAAATTCAGGCCTCAAGATAAAATTAGTGTAGCTTTATTCGAGGATCACCATTGTTGTGTCCCAAGGACCCGTAGTACACTGTATCTCCACAAGCGAAAATTCCCTATTCTTGGGCCCATCATGACCTGGGGTTTGAGGACTGCAACTGTTGGTGTCCTTGTCGGAGTGTACCAGTTCAACACGAACGATATTGGTGAGAGCCTTGGTTCAGATTCCTTTCTTTCTTGGATGTTGAGTGCGATTTACTTAGGTCTGACGGAGCTTATTGCGAAAGTTTGGACCGCATAGGCCGGTTTTCTTGTATCAGTATACGATTTCAGCAATCCATGGAATTCACATAACACACGAACGATGCAGTTGTCCGACCAGTTCTCTGTGCCAGGACCATTCAGCAAGCTTTGTATTATGAAGGAATCCAGTGGTATGCATATTATGTACAGTCATGACTATCGAGCCGAGAACCAGTCTAATAATTAAGCAAAAGCATATAGTACCATCCCCAGCTCACCGAGACTCAATAGACGGAGTGCGAGTGATAAGTCTCGAATCCGATACACCCTTCTCCAAATCAATAGTAGAAGTCGGCATTGTTTGTGACGCAGTCGATGGTGCGGAGTCAATGACATCGGCCTCTTGGGGTCCATGATCAGCGACTATGCCGACGTTCCAGAAGAAAAGGACCGCGAATATGGTACCTATGGTGTGTGATTTGAAGGTTAAATCTACCTCTCAAAGCCCGAAAACGTTCACATACCAATGACCCCGAAAGCAAATGCGCCCCATGCTGCGGCTTTGTAGCCATCCAGCAATGCTTCTCGAGGGGCATTGCTATTGCTGGCGTCGACGATGACTCCCATTTTTGCTGAATTTTGTGCAACGACTCGATTGTAGATGATGGTCGTGACTGTTACACCCAATGCTGTTCCGACCTACGATACCAGTGAGTTCAATTATGTTTCGCTACGCTTCATGCCAACGCTTACCTGGTTCATCGTTTGGAACAAAGCGCCGGAAAGGCTTTGCTCATGGGGCTCGACAATCTTTGCAACGAAGATTGTCCCTGACGCAAAGACGAGATCGGCACCAAACACAGAGAAGATGGCACTAGGGAAACCGAATCGCCAATATGAAGCATCGGGTTTGATGAGGGCAAAGAACAAGGATGCACAGCCAGTGGTCAGTGTTCCGGTCGCTTGAATGGGGCAGTAGATAAGCAAGCAACAGTTCAGTGGTTAGATATAGCTTACCCAACATCCATACAATAGAAACGCGCGCAATTATCAAAATAACGATGGTATTGAGGATGACCCCCGTGACGAACATGGGAATGAACCTGACCATAGTGAGAATAGGTGTGTAATCCTCGTAATTTTGATAGAAAAGCTAAACGCCGGATTATCAGGTAGGTTTCTCCAAATGCGATGCTGTCTTACCTGTGTCCAAAAGTTCCATGCCAGAAACGAGGCAAAGGTGAGCAAGTCGATGAACATAATTGCGGCAAATTTTCCGTTTCCTTTGGTCCATAGGGAGAGCTTCATCATCGGGGGAGGAGTCCAGATCGAATATGGTGCGTTTGGATTGAGCTGTAGGCGCTCAAGATACCATTGCCAGGCCAGGAATATTCCAATGATGATCACACCGACGATGAGAAGAGCAATGATATCTATGACACTCCTTCAACCCCAGAGCGAGAACAGAAAGAGATATAAAACGTACAAGAAGTCGCCCATTTGTTCGGGGCAATCTCCCCATCACTTAGAACAAAGATTATGAGGACTAGTCCGGCGGTTATTAGAAACGCTCCCAGCCAATCGATGCGACGGTCGGCTTCGGTTGATGGTTCATCTTTCGGAATGGACCAAACGCCCATAAGCAGAAACATCAATGTCAGGCCACTTGACAGATAAAAGTTGCTCCTCCAGGTAGGGCTAGAAAGGTATCAGATCTTGTTAATACGTTAAATGAGAAGAAGGCTCATACTCTGAGAGCTGGATCAAGGTACCACCCAATGCTTGTCCCGTAAACCCACCCAACGGTGCTCCAGCGGCATAACAAGCGAACGCAATGGACCGCGTTCGACCCGGGGGAAAAGAATGTGCGAGAATGCCCATCTAAGGGACAGATCAACGAATGGAAGTCGATGGTAAGCGAACTGCTCACTGTTGCTGGAAGGGCTCCTGCGATTCCGATACCTTGCAAACCACGAAGTACATCGAGGACAATTTCATCTTGTAAGACCAGTTAGGTTATGAGTGAGGGGAGGGGAAGGGCTGGCATGCTTACCTTTAGCAAACCCGCAGGCAAGTGTGAAGACGGCAAGCCATGCGGAACTGAGCAGGAATGTTATTTTGCGACCATACAGATCTGCGACACGTCCCAACAGGGGGAAGAGACAGCCCTGCAGAAATGTTGAACAGTCTGGAAAAAGTTATTCCTGTTGAAAGCGTACAGAACTCAAAGCGTATGATGATACCTAGACAGAAATCAGTAAAAGTCTCGTCAATTATTCAGCCCACTCACGAGCCATTCAAGCTGAGTTTCTTCAATATCCAGGTCTCTTCCTATTGACGGTAGAGACACCGCTGCCGAGGTGAGGTTCGAGCTCTTACCGAATGGTCGTATTAGCGAAAGGTCAATCGTCAATGAATACGGCGACTCACGTTCACCCACATTGCCAGCGTACATGTCGCGATAATGGCCACTGTCTGACCTTTCGAAAGCGGTTTTTTTGCGACGACTTCCTTCTCCATGGTCGAGAATTTGGACAGCAAGGAACTTATGGGGGATCGCCAGGATCCATGAAGGCTTAAATATGTTATCTCCTACTTCGAACTATTCAAGTGGGTCTTGTTACCAAGTTCAATTGTATCATCCTACGCCACGCGATACCTCCGATGATTAGTTTTTCCGACGTCAGTTTTTTCGAGCGAGTAGTTTTGTTGGCGAAATGACGGTCCTCCCCCGGACGTAGTGGACGTAGGAGTGCATCATTGTCGAGGGGAACGGTGTAGAAGCGGTCGTTTTTCTCAGTACCTTCGGAACATCAGGTGGGTGTTCTTCGCGCGCTGTTCGTGTGACTATTGCCGCCTTTGGTATTGGAGACGCGGAGCATGGTAGTGGGATAGCGAAACGTTAAGTCAGACTTATGACATTCCTGACTAAAATTCTTTCAAGTGGCTGGGTATATTGTAGACAGCATCTAGTATGCATGATGATAAGGTACAAGATGAAGACAAACATATGACCTACGTAAAGCAGGTGTCGCTGATTGTGTTTTTGAATCTGTATAGTACTTCCTTCCAGTCGGTGCTCACACCTTCTAAACATCCTCATGGTCCTGTTCCCGGTCTATTTTTGACTTGGCCACGGTAATTTCATCGGCAGTGCCATCGTCTACGTATGACCGCCCGGGGACAAGATTTGACTGAGGTCCATGATAATGTCTGTGGCCATCGACGATATACCACGCGCTGGCCAAGAATATTAACAGATTTCAAGAAGGAAGTAATTCATCATTAACGTACAATGCTAGAATCATGACACCAATCGTTATCACCTAAAACTTCCCCGTCAGCACGGAGAAACGGGAAAAACATATTGGGTAAAGGTTCTTACAGAAGCGTAGTTCATATTCTCCTTCGTGATGGGTTTCACGGTCGGGAACGAGAAGATCACACACACGAATATAGTCCACAGGATACATGTCCAATTCATCGCAGCCCCCAGGAAGCCATCACCCATATAAAAGGGACCAGGTTTGAACATGACCTCGGGGTGGTTTTGAAATACTCGTCTGAGGAAGATGGGGATGATGTAGCTCAGGTCCAGGGCCATGGCAGTCAGCGAGAAGATGGCATTGGCGGCAATGGGACTTGCGAGGTCGAGCAACCCAGGAAGGACGGATACAAAAGTAGTTAGGAAGATAGCTCGGAGAGGGGTATTGGTCAGCTTGGAGTTGTGGCCAAAGTAACCGGCATCGGGGAGCCCTATGATAGTTTGATATGAATCTCAATTCGGAATTGTGCGAGAGTGGGCGCGTACCGTGGTCGCGGCTGAAGGCGTAAACAGTACGTGACGCAGCCTGTAGCGCGGTTTGAACGACGAAGAAGGCTGTGAGGCAAACAAAAGCCTGTGGTAAATGTATCAGTGATCAAAACCACAGCATGCCAAGTGAAGAACCGACCCATAGTATTAGCGCTCCAGTCTTCCCCATTCGAAGGTACATGATCTGATCAAAGTTTGGGTAACCGCAAACAACCCAGCGTTGTCTAACGTACCTCAAGCACAGCAGAGCCAGAAGCTCCCGGAAGGTCTTCCCTGTATGCAGATATGAATTATAGAACGACCTGTCAGATATTATTTCACGCACAGCGGTCCAGAGCAAAGAACCAGTACGATATTGAAGAGCCATCCAAAGATCCCGGTGCCGATTACTTGAGAAACATGTCAGCGCATTCTAAATGATGTGATACGGCTCCACAAACCCGCGATGAAAATAGCCGAAGGTGCTGTAGTAGTAGTAAGCTGTCGTCAGTCTGCAAGTCCGGTTTCTATGCATGAGTACACACCAGCGTACGCAGCACGTCGGACTTCTTCACTAAAAATATCCATGGGTTAGTAAGGCTGTAGGCTTAATCACGAAATACCAACTCACGAGATATGTGCAGTGGCGTCGTAATCCTAATCATGATATCAATCAAATCAGCTTCCATCATCTCCGAACTGAACGAACATACCGTCATCTATCCATGCATTCAGTTTCAAGAACCAGAGATAAGAACATGCCACTTACTGTCCATTGTACACTCAACAGCCCAAACAGGAACGCTAACCCGGTATTCCAGCCTCCGGTTTGGTTCACAAGCCCCGCTGAGCCAAAGACGTAACTGGCTGGATGCATGTTTTCGCGACCTGTCGTGGCAAGAAGGACGATGATAATAACTACCGGTGACTGTAAGGATGGAGTGATACATAGGATGGGAGGAGCATCTTACGGAATGTGGCTCCAAGATTAACAAAGACGAATGAAGACGATAAACGAGCAAGGTAGCGAGTTGCGAGCGAGTTCTGGGTAGCAAAGTTTAACAACAAAGATGAAGATGAGTGGTCCTGGATGTTTAGTATTTACCAGGATACCATGGAAGACGAGTAAGCCAACGAAGAGCCCAACGACCTTTCCCTATGTTTTGAAATAGTTGAGAAAATAGTCGAAGCAAGTAGCATAGATCCATTACTTGAGTAAGTTCATAGTTCCCATCCTGTAAGATAAGCATAGTTAGCCCCAATCTTTGAAATGTGATTGGAAGTGTCATCACCTTGCCGATGACAACAGCGGCCCATATCATATTTGATAGACCGAACTCTGTTGAAGATATACCCGCGATCTGGCCTGCATGAGCGAGACTCGGTCAATATAGCCCCCATATTCCCTGATTATCGTCTCACCCAGAATATTTAGCCACCCAACCAACCAACCGATCTAAGGAACGAACTTTTATCGGCATCCAAAAACACAGCCGGTCAAGAGAAGCCTTACCCTCGCACGATGCTTCTGAGGTGTGAGCTGGGCCGAAGCCGTGTACCTGGAGAAAGGAACCCGCGGGGTCAGTGTGATATCACCAGGTACCAATCAAGTCCGGAACGCACAGTCCACCACAGGTCGGATAAGCGCTAACGATTTCGGCGATACTGGATCCTAGAGTGAAGCACATGCATGCACCTAGGATCCAGCACCATACGACCTAATCGGAAGTGAGATCGGGGTGTGTATTGGGGGGAGAGAGAAGTGTTGATACCGAAGATGGTCCTCCGAGCAGTAATGGGGTGTTAAAAGTCGTCGATATACTCGAACATACACCCTATATGCGACGAGGGAGATTGTCAGGGAGCTCCGAGTGCCGCACATGGAAGAGCTAACCATTATACTGAACGCAAAGCTAATCTGTATCAAAATTAACAGTAAGAAGACAATGCAATCAGGACTTGATAAAGCTTGCGAGTAGCCGATACGCACCGTCGCCAGATTTGAGAATTCCCGCTTGAAAGACGGGACATAGCCAAGGGCGACGAGCTCTTTGTCGTCATCGTCTATCATCGTGCTTGAGATGGAGGGAGTTGGTTCTGGTAAGGCTGCCATTGGGGGCCTTTATAAAGGTCGTAGATGGTCGTGTGGCAGTTATGCGGCGACGTGGAAGAGCTACCAAAAGGATCAAGAGTCTGTTTGATGCCGCCATATGTATGCTGAAAATAAATCAAATTAGTTCTGCACAAATTTTTAGGCAGACCCTATCTTTCGGATCTGGCCCTGGTTATCTTATCTGGTCCCTTCAAATCCTTCACATCCGAGCAGCCTGGATGGTCGTGTCCACGTTGTGTCAACGTCGACCAATCCTGTGCTAAAAGATTTCCGTCAAGTCTGGATCGGGCAGCGGTTCTACCAGCCAGCCGTACAAGGTAAATATAGTTTTACGTCCTAGTAGATTGTTTGCGTTCTATCTAATGGCTTCTAGATATGCTAACAAGGGACGTACCTTCACACGGCCACCGAGAAGGATAAGCCATGGAAGCCAGGTCCTATCGTTGTACTGTGCTGCTGCACACGGTTTCCCGACGATACGACTATCGTCTACACGAAAAGCGTCCGACTGCCATTGAATGCATATCAGGTGCTTCTGGAAGCTGAGGCACTTGTACTCAACACCGATAACAGAGATAGTAACGGCACCAAACTAAAAGAGTCCGTATGGAGCACACAGGTTTGCGCTATAACACCAAACACTCCACCAATTCAGTGTGCACGCGGACCAGTGTAGACCTGTGACCGGACCCCTACAATGAGCAAGCGTCGATGTAGGGGACCTGTAAAGCTGACTTTTAATTTATAGGCGACATGGTTAGGCATTTGCCGAGGTCCAAAAAGGCCATTCGAGTCGTTACCATATTGGGGTTTTGGTGGTGATCGCATCCATTTCGTTCAGATACTATTGTGTCTCGACGCGACTTTGCTCTGTACATTTCGTTAGCCATGGTCCAGCAATCGAATCCATTACCAGAAGAATCTCTTTGCTCTACACATGTCTTTTATACTCCCATTTCATCCTCAGCAGCGCCAACAGCTGCCAGTTCATCAACCCAGTTCATCCTCAATCCAAAGCCCAAGAAGGCGACTGCGTCGAAATCTGTAGCCGCAAAACCAAGGTCCTGTCCCTGCAATGACCGCTCAGTCTCGACGCTCATAAGAAGCAAGAGCGGCACGGAGCTGGACTTCTCTTGGAGCTTCTCGACCACATGTCACGAAAAACGCCAAGAGAATGAAGCGGTAACAGATGAGTTGTTGACCCTTGGGTAATGAGCAGATGTACGTGAAGGGGACACGGTCAGAATCAATGGTTTGTGTGATACGATGGTGAAGCGACTCAAGGGTGGCATTTCGGATGGATGCAAGGGTGTCAGATAATGTTTTAACAATTGAGAAGGTCTCCATATGGATTATACGAGTTTAAAGATGGTAATACGAGGTTTTGAAGACAAAATACATGGCTGCGCATCGAGACGCGATAGTATCTGAACGAAATGGATGCGATCACCACCAAAACCCCAATATGGTAACGACTCGAATGGCCTTTTTGGACCTCGGCAAATGCCTAACCATGTCGCCTATAAATTAAAAGTCAGCTTTACAGGTCCCCTACATCGACGCTTGCTCATTGTAGGGGTCCGGTCACAGGTCTAGGACCAGTGCCAAAGTCCAATACTAAAATGCAAGCCTACGAGCAAACGCTGCTCAGGTGTCTGACCCTGTGATGATTTTCCTAGGTTGTCGCTTCCCAACATACGCACCCATGTTATGTCAGCAACCAGAGATAAGAAGAACTTGCGAATACCCGCTGAGTCGAAGAGTGGGCAGTTCAGCTACCCGGGAACTGCAGATTACAAGCAGTCGGCAGGCGAGGTAGAAGGATGACGAAGTTGGGCGGAAAGACGTCTTCGATGGGGCTCCGAGATAAACGATCCGACGGGTTTGTTCAGCTGTTCTTTCGTATCATATCTATTGCTGAGTCGTAGGATTCAAACGGAAGGCCTCATCGATGACGCATGAAAACATGCACATATCACTTTATCTCTCCAGAACACCCTATTTGCCATGCCCGAGGGCCAGCGAACTTCCCTTTACTTGTGGCTATCGTGGCGGAACACCTTTCTTCCTGCCAGGAAGCCTTCGGGCCTGAAAAAGCGTATTACATTTATCACAAAATAGTGATGTATTCTCTTACTCAACAGGTGGATAAAGACGCGACGTCTGCAACAATTGTCGGGGAGCATGGTGTTAGAACGCGGTTGAAAGCAGGCGACGCGTGAAACGACAGCTTTGGCGCGTCTATTTACGACTGAGTCTAAACGATGCACCGACGACGGAGGAAAGAGCGGGGCCATGTATCACTTGCAAAGCTGTAGCGGGTTTCGCCAAGAGTATACCTTGTTCTGCCTTTGTATACGTGACTTTGATAAGAATTTGTGTGCACTAGGATTAATTGCCAGTTTTTACGTTCATTTACGATGAGGAGTCTAATGAGATTTGTCTTCTGCATGAAATAAAGTCATTCTGTGAAAACGTGCCAGAGAACCTTTGTGCGTACTGTATCTACAGAGTAGTATTGTGTTCGCTTCATTGTTTCGACTCCTTCAAATACCGCTTCCATATACGCTGCCCTTCTGGACAATCTGTCCGTACGTGCTCGATGAGATCTGATGTTGTATAAACTGTATTATATCGGCGGTATGCCTTAGCGTATGTCTCGTCCCCGTAGACGCCTTCACTCGACTGAATCACCCATCGACAGCCTGCGCAGAAGAGGTCATTGTCAATCTTTCCCGAGCATCTGTTGAAATAAGGTAGAGGGGCGGCTGCCACCCACCGGGCCCGAAGCTTCCTTTCCGAATTGGTCCACCGGGAGATGCAAGACTCATATACTGCTTTGCGTTGGGGTGTGGAATTGATACGAGCCATAAGCTGCGCCTCGCCTCCCGCTTCTTCGACAACCACTCCGCGAACTTTTGTGAAGCTCAGAAGACGCCGAAAATCCAGATAATCGTTCCAGCTGTTTTCGGAGCAGACAGCAGGTAGACCCGCTAACGTAGCTGCTGATATTCCAAACAGCTTGGTTGCCGCATACTCGTTGATGGGAAGGAGCTCGGGTGAACGAAGACAAGGCATACAGCACCGTCGGCACTCGAGGAGCCAGATCAGAGAACCAGAATTACCACATGAGCCGCATGAAGGACTGCTACAAAGAGCATTATAGAGGTCCTCGAGGGTGAAAAACGAGCCAGCGTGTGTTCTAAGCATTGCTACGAGTGCATCGAGGGCATAATAGGAGACGCGTTGGAAAGCGAGTGATTCATCGACGGCCTTTCGGGTACTTCTATTGACGAGGGAAAACGATATGGCAATGGTCTGGATATCGCAGCATGTAGAAATGATGTTGTCCAGGAGCTTGCTGGGAAGAATAGCGAGCTTCCCTAGTGTTGCGACTGGATTCTTGGCTACCATGCGCATAAACTGGATAGGGACTAGGGTGACTTCACTAAAGACTCGTGGGTATCCGACGACCTTGTCCATCGTAAGGCGTTGTTCTGCCATGGGCGTGAGAGTAGGAAGGGTGGCGTTGTATACGTCTGTTTGGCATTTGTCCTTACTGGTGGCGCGCGCGATCGAGCATTGCAACTTGCTTCTTTACCACCACCTTGGATCCTCACAGCCCTCTTTCTTACCAGTGCGTCGCTTGTCAGTGCTCTACTAAATACAAAGTGATCTCTGTTGGCCTCGAAGTGGACAAGGAAGCGAGAGAGACTGTTTTGAGCCAGACCCTAAGCAAACTGACAGCTGCACCTTCAGAGAGCAACAAGACTCATTTCACACTGAAAACAACTCGTGAGGAAGTACTGAAACCACTACACCTGTCAAAGAATGACTCAGCCCCGGGTATAAATGGTGCAACTAACAAATTCTTCAAGGTACTAAATGACAGACATGTCGAGGATGAAAGGAAAGAAATCCCGAGTTTTGATATAGTAGGAGTCCTCACTGAGGTCTTCAATGACATTGAAGATCACGGTATAGATGACTCAACAAACTTCACGGAGGGATGGATGTGCCCCATTTATAAAAAGAATGACCGAAATATGATGTCAAATTACCGCCCCATAACCCTCCTTAATTCAGAATACAAGCTGTTTACGAAGGCTCTATCTATTAAATTGGTATGCTCGGCACCAGAGCTAATTCATATTGACCAAGCAGGCTTCATCCCCGGACGCCAAATCTCGAACCAAACTAAGCTAATTTGAATGATCATTGACCACGCTGACTTAACTGAACAAAATGGCATGATCGTTGCACTTGACCAAGAAAAAGCATATGACAAAATACGACATGATTATCTATGGAGGGTTCTGGAGGCTTTCCAAATCTCGATGCAGTTCATATCAACAGTAAAGTCCTTATACGAGTGCGCGTATACCAGAGTGATGGTAAACGGATTCCTTAGCTCACCATTCAAAGTCACGTGAGGAGTACGCCAGGGTGACCCCTTATCCTGCCTGCTCTTCGATCTTGCTATTGAACCTCTTGCTGAATCTCTTCGCAAATCAGACCTGAGGGGACTGGAAGTCCCAGGTTCGGAAGAACGACTAATTGCCAAGCTCTTCGCGGATGATACCACAACCTTCCTTCATGAAGATGATGATTTCGAAGAGCTGATGAAGCTCCTAGATGACTGGTGCCTTGCTAGTGGTGCACGTTTCAATGTCGCAAAGACCCAAATAATTCCAATTGGAAGCAAAGAGTTCCGTTCGAACGTGACGGACAGCTGGAGAAGTAAAGAAAATTTCAAACAAATTCCTGATAATATACGCATAGTGAAAGAACACGAGGCAATACGTATCCTAGGAGCTTGGTTTGGTAATGACATCCCAGATGACACTGCTTGGACACTGATCCTGGAGAGAGTAGATAGAAGCCTTGCCCGCTGGGAGATGTCCCACCCATCTGTCCCCAACCTGGCGCATTATAGTACAAACCATAATTGGAGGATTGACCCAATACTTAACGGCTGGTCCAGGGAATGCCAAAACATGTCGAGAATAAGCTGGAAAAAAGAGAATGTAAGTTCATTTGGGAAGGCAGAACAAAAAATCTCATTGACTTCGAAACACTTAAGTCCCCAAGGGACCAGGGAGGACTGGATATCCTCGACATACAAGCACGTAACAAGGCAATTGAAGCCATGTGGGTGAAGGAGCTTCTCTCTGAACAGAAGCCAACCTGGACTTTCTATGCACATGATATCATAGCCCGCACAGGCCTAAGCTCGGAAAGAAACGTGAACCGAGATATGAAAATGAATATTTTCCTACAATCTTTCAATACAAAAAAATCACAGCTACCCCGGGACCTACAAAGAATCCTGACCGTAGCCAATGAAACAGGAGTGCGGGCAGAGGGTATAGCTTTCTCCAGAGAAATACTTCAGCAGTCGGCCGATCTGGTTCCACTCAGAAGCAAACCCTAGAATCCATCTTCTGACCCACTCTTCAGCAAGCATATGTCTCTGAGAAAACCACAACCTACGTTTAGTCGGGGAGGTGGAAGAAATTTCCCAGTTCCTCGATGACCCAAGTCATAACAGTGCAATTCGAGGCCAATGATGCGAATGCCATATCTGTTCAGCAATGGAGGAAAACCTAGGCTGCAAAAAACCAAATGAATGTATGCTTCATGCAAAAGAATTAATGGACACCCTGCCAAAAAAGTGGGATCCTCGTTTCATGCTCCCTGAGGACTATGAGGAGGGCCCGGAGCAACTAGACGAGGGATTTGAGTTCGATCGGAGAGTGACTGTGGATGGTTCAATCGCAAATGCTTTCCGAATTTTCACTGAGGGAGTAGTATGCAATGAACTACCAGATCTTCGACTCAGTGCCCCATCAGACGAAATTATCAATGCAGCCACAGATGGGTCCTGCATTGACAATGGTTCCTCCAATGCAAGAGCCAGTGTGGGAATTTACATTGCAGGTGAAAACAGCCTTGAGATCGCCCTAAAGATACCCACATCCCTGCCCCAGTCCAACCAGGTAGGCAAGGTGGTAGCAACAAAAGAGCTAGCAAACAGAGTTGACAAAAGAGCGATCCTACACAATGATACGGACTCGAAATACATACTTCAGCACCTGTCGACCTCACTAAGAAAGATGGAAGACGCTGGTTACATAGGCATGCCCAACAGGAAAGTGCTCCAAGCGATGATAGCCAGTCTCCGCAGCAGAAAACAGATTACCACCATGACATGGGTAAAGGGGCACAACGGACACCCAGGAAACACTATGGCTGACCTGTTAGCAAATGAAGGAGCAAACAAAGAAACAGAGGACACCATTGACCTAGAAATAGACCCAAAGCTACACATTTCCGGCGCCGCCCTATGCAAACTGATGCAAAGCCAAGCCTACAAAGCCCTCCAAGAACGAAAGAACAAAAACCTCCCTCAGCGTACAAAGACAACAGCGAACATTGCGCTGGCTATACAGGGAGCAAACGAGTCTTTCGGGGTCATGCCAACGGAGCCTGCCATATGGAAATCAATCAGATGTTGAGTTCCAAGCCCTCGGGAGCACCTCGCACACTGTCACCCCGACTTCTTGCTCGTTGTTGCGACGATCTGCTTCTTGGACATTGTGACTCCCAGTTCATTTCTGTTCTTTAGTCAGTACTTACTTTTCCTCGCTTCCTCAGACTTTAGAGTAGTATATATACCTCGTATTTTGTACCTGCCACCTCAGCTTGTTGCTCTATACCGACAGAGAAAGGCTGAGGTGAGTTATTCTGTATTCCTTGTATTTATCGCCTTACTTACATCTCGTAGCGTAGCACGTATTCTTACAGGTAATATCATAGCTTGTTGCTCTATACCGACAGAGAAAGGCTGAGCATAGCACATATTCTTACAGGTTATTGTGCCCTGTGCACTCTGTCAATTTGCTGCTAGTTTCCCCACTTGTGTCGTCTCATCTCCCATTTTTCCATCATGGCTCCGTCTGTTACCACGTCTCTCACTGACTCCCTCCCTGGGTCCGTGCCCAAGCTTGATGCTTCTGGACTAAACTGGGCTGTGTTCTCGATCCGCTTTCATGACGCTGTTGAGCCCAAGGGTTTCTGGGGACACTTCGACGGCACCACACCTCGGCCGACTGCGTCATCACCCCCTGCTCAGGCTGAGCATACTGCTATCGAGGCTTGGGATAAGGACGAATGCTCAGCATGGTCTCTTCTGACGCAGAAGATTCCTGACTCGACGTTGATGTGTGTCCACTCCAAGACCACGGTGCGGGAACACTGGGAAGCTATTGTTGATGAGTACATGAACAAGGGAACGTATGCACAGACAGACCTTCGTAACCAGTTCATGGATATGAAGTGCGAGGAACATGGTGATGTGAGAGTGTTCTTGGACAGCCTAAGGACGAAACGTGAAGAGTTAGTGACGTATGGCATGCTCATCAGTGTGGATGACTACCAGTCAACCATTATCTCTTCTCTCCCTGGCTACCTCTCGAATTTCGCTGCAAACCAGCTCGCCACAGCTAAGCTGTACAGCTCTACACACACCCTTGACCCCGACATCCTCATCGATGCCATCGTTGAGGAGTTCGACAAGAAATGACGCAAACGTGCCCGCCACTCGAAGGCAAAGGGTACGAAGTCAGAAGATCAGGATGTTGCTATGGCTGCATCAGGATCTGAGTCGAAGGGGAAGGGGAAGGAACGTACGAAGAAGCCCCACGGTGCTTGTTGTGGCTGTGGAGAGACAGGTCACTTCAGGAATAAGTGCCCGAAGCAGAAGAAGACCAAATCTGCGAACGCTGCCGAATCTGACAGCGATGTTGCGTTCTGGGCCAAGGACACATCCGAGTCTGAGGATAGTGTGCCTGACCTTGAGGTGGTCAGCGACTCAGAAGATGAGTCTGCATTCAGCGACTCAGAGGACCGTGACGATGATGGGGTCGAAGGAGAGGGTGATTGGTTTTCAGATGTCGACGAGGACTCTGATAGTCCCTGGGGCTGTGGCTGGGATACCGAGGAGTTATCTGGGACCAGTGGCAGCGATGTTGATTCATTGGCTGGTGTTGACTCAGACTCGGTTAGTGCAAGGTCCATGGAGAGTGATGACTTCCTGGAGGTTCTTGAGGCTGCAGTGTCTGAAGAGGCAAACAGTATCAGCAACAGCAAAGCTGACACCGAAAAGGGTCATAGCGAACTTTACGACTCTGGATGCACCAAACATATCACCCCATATCGCGAAGAATTGTCCAACTTCGTTGAAATCCCCCCAAAAACATTCCGTGCTGCAAATAAGGGAAATTTCAGTGCAAACGGAATGGGTGATATGACCATTGATGTACCGAATGGTGTATCCGATGCCTTGCAGCTGAGACTTACGGAGGTTCTGTACTCCCCAGAGGTGGGCTATACTCTCGTGTCGGTCGGGAAGCTAGATGATCACGGATTTTCTGTCACTGTTCGCTGGTGGAAAGTGCACAATCCGTGGCCCCGACGGCGAGTTGGTTGGAGAAGTCCCTAAAGTTGGAAAGGGCCTCTATCGTGTCGATCATGAGCCTGAGAGCGCAAACACAGTGGAAGAAAAAATCACTCTAATGCAGTTCCACCGTCGTATGGGTCACATATCCCCAGACCTCGCTCGAAAACTTGTTGACAAAGGATTTGTCACAGGTGTACGGCTTGATGAGACCTCGTTTGACGAGCCAACCTTCTGCGAAGCCTGCATATATGGCAAGGTGACGAGAAAGCCCATCTCGAAGGTGCGGGAAGGAGAGAGAGCAACGAAAATTGGGGAGGAGGTTCACTCAGATCTTTGGGGACCTGCTCTGGTTGCTACTCTTGGCGGGCGCCATTATTATATAACATTTACGGATGACTGCACCCGATTTACCCGACTGCACCTTCTCAAGAGCAAGAACGAAGCTTATCAGGCTTATAAAGAGTTTGAGGCTTGGCTCGAGACTCAGCTAGGCGCTCGCATAAAGACTCTGCACTCGGATCGTGGTGGAGAGTACCTGGGAAAGGAGTTCATTCTCCACCTGAAAGAGTCAGGTACAAACCAGAAGCTCACCGTGCATGACACTCTGCAGCAAAATGGTGTTGCAGAGTGACGAAATCGTACCATTGTGGAACGAATTCATGCCTTGTTGCATGCGAGTGGTCTCCCAAAGTACCTTTGGGGAGAAGCAGCACGTCACATTGTATGGCTACTCAATTGCACACCTACAAAAGCTCTTGATGGGAAGACTCCATACGAAGCTGCCTATGGTCGCAAGCCATCCCTTAAGGGGTTACGCGAGTGGGGTGAAAAAGTCTGGGTCCGTGTTGAAGGTGGGGATAAGCTTGGTGGTCACGTAAAGGAAGGCCGCTGGATGGGTTTCGACGAGCAGAGCAAAGGGTTCTGCATTTACTGGCCTGACAAAAGACGCGTCAGTATTGAATGAAATGTGTATTATGACAACACCGCTTCGCCGACTTCTCGTCTCGAGGGGGAGAGTTTAGACTGCACCGAGACGAAATCCGACTCACCAGGAACTTTCTCGGCACCCACACCTCCAGCAGTCTCCTCGGAAACACCGTCTGTACCTGCTGAAAGCTCATCAGCAAATTCTGAACCCATTCCCGAACCCGAAGCACCCACTAAACGTGTCCGAAAGCCTAGTCAACGTGTCCAGGATATCCTTGATGGCAAAGGCATGAACTCAGCGAAGCCCGCCGATCCCATTGTAGCCTCAGGTGTCCAGCTCCCCACTGTCCCCGATAAAACCACTCTTGAGGGGGAGGGTACAGCCGAATGGATGATGGCTGCTGACTTCATTGACGAGTATGCAATGGCGGCTGAGATGTCAGAGGCTGAAGCTTTGGAGCTGAAGTCTCTCTCGGAGGCGAAGGACCATCCGGATTGGCCTCTATGGGAAAGGGCGATCCAGGAAGAGCTTCAGACATTGAAGGATGTGAGGACGTGGGAGCTTGTCGAGCCTCCCAAGGATGCCAACATCGTCGGATCCAAGTGGGTCTTCCATGCAAAAAAAGACGCTGCCGGAAATGTTGTACACTACAAGGCTTGCCTAGTCGCTCAGGGATTCTCGCAAGTACCAGGCGTTGACTACTTCGACACCTTTGCTCCAGTAGCCAAGCTCGCTTCAATCCGTGCCGTCCTCGCAATGTCAGCCATCCATGATCTAGAGCTTCATCAGATCGACGTCAAGGGCGCATATCTCAATGGTGAACTCACCGAAGAGGAAAACATCTTCATGAAGCAACCTCCGGGCTTCCATGCACCAGGATCAAAGTCTCTTGTGTGCCATCTGTTGAAGACGTTGTATGGCTTGAAGCAGTCGGGTCGATGTTGGTACCAGAAGCTCGTCGAGATCCTTGTTCAAAAGATAGGGCTAAAATGCTGTGACGTTGATCAGGCAGTCTTTTTCCGACGCGATGGAGAAAAGTTAATCATTATATTGGTTCATGTTGACGACTGTACAATTGCAGCTTCGTCACTTGCCCTAGTTCGCGAGTTCAAGCGCAAAATGTCCTCCTACGTTGAGATCAGTGATCTTGGCGAGCTGCACTGGCTGTTAGGCATCGAAATCAAGAGGAACCGTGAGGAACGCACCATCCACCTCTCCCAGTGATCGTACATCATCTCCATCCTCCAGAGATACAACTTCGACGAGTTGAGGCCTCTGTCAACCCCCATGGACCTGAATGTTCGCCTCTCCACCTCCCAGTCGCCCTCAACAACAGCAGAAATTGCCCAGATGCACCACATCCCCTACCATGAGGCAGTTGGCTCCCTGATGTGGGTATCCCAAGGTACTCGCCCTGACATCGCATTTGCTACACAGAGCGTCTCCCGATTCACGAAAAATCCGGGCCAGCAGCATTGGGCAGCTGTGAAACACATTTATCGGTACCTAAGTGGTACGCGTGATCTGTGGTTGACGTTCGGAAGGATGAGGGATGGGAACAACAGCGTTCAGGGCTACACTGATGCTGATGGTAGCATGGCCGAGGACAGGCATGCCATCTCGGGATATGCCTTTTTGCTTGGCGGTGGCGCTATCTCATGGTCATCAAAGAAACAAGAAATCGTTTCACTTTCTACCACCGAGAGTGAATACGTGGCAGCAACTCACGTGTCAAAGGAAGCTCTTTGGCTTCGTTCACTCATCTCACAGCTCTTTACACCTGTCACCAAGCCTACGACCCTGTTCTCAGACAACCAATCGGCTATTGCACTTAGCAAGGACCACCAGTACCATGCGAGGACCAAGC